AGAAAGGGTGAAGTTTAACACTTAAAAAATGTCTTTGTAAGGAAGTACCCTATGAAAGCCAGGGTGAGACATTCTGATATCTAGCTGCTTAATTCAGAAGGATTTCTGAATTTCCTCTGAGCTCATCTGTATGTCTCCTGTAAAATCCTATGATGAAGTCCTAAGATTTTGTGTTACTTTGTCATCCATTTTTAATCTTCTTCTAACTAACACACCCAAACTCCTGGAAGAGAGGAAAAAAAACTTAGATTCTCTCTCTCTCTGTGCCTTGAGATGTAAATTTGCTACCCTTTTTCTCTAAAACGTAAGTGCTTCTCCAGATAAACTTTAACCTTTTCCATTCACAAAAGCACATTTTAAATCCAACTGTCCTTTTCAACTAATAAGTTTTACTTGTCTTATGGCTAAAGTTCTAAAATCAAAACTATAAAGTCTTTGTGTGTACATGTGTATGTTATATTAATAAGTTGAGTCTACATACGTGTATATATATATCCAAACATATGCTTATATGTTGTCTACATGTGGTACCAAATTAATTTGAAAATGATAACTAGCCCAAGTGCTTTTCGAGTTCATATGACTTTAGTAATCTTTGATATAGTTTTTAAATTGTTAATAAAATAAAAACTTCTTCAAAATTTAATTTAGACATTTTTTTGCCCTGAATATACTGATCAGACAGGTTAATACTATCTCAGCTAGATGGTTAAATGTCATAAAACTTGCTTTGTAATACTTTTGATACTTGCTTAACTAGTCTATGAGTTTATGACTTTAGATTTAAATCTTTAGGCCACGGTGAGGCATAGGGACACCAGGCTGAAACACTACTGATTGTTTTTGTTTTCCAGTCCAGAGTCAAGAAAACTGTGTTATTTCTTCTTTTCAGCTCTTTATACCTTACAAAAAATTGGTAAAATATATTTTTGTGAGCAAAATTTGAAGCATTTATTTTTCTCTGCACTTGATTTCTCCAGAATTTAAAAACTATTTGTGAGTATTCTTAATTATGACAATACCATTATTTGTATAAGTACAATAAGAATCTGATTTCTTTTATAACAGGACACAATTGGAGACACTGGTTATTTTACCAAGGTTTTGACTGGAATGGCATATTTTCATGTAGGTCCCGATTGCTCAGAAGACTTAAGGCTGACTTACAGAGCTGATAAAAAGCCCTTTGGAAAGACTAGCTTGGAACTTTGTCCTTTACGAGGTTTCCTGACCTGTAGATAAGTAAAGAATGTCACTTTCTGACAGGCCCAGGAGCCCCAGGTTATTTTTGGATCTTGAGAAAAAAATAATTTTCCCAATTCATACAAGTATTACAGACAGTGTGATGGCTTGACTTACTAGCCACAAAAGTCTAATTTGAGATTCCTTTTGAAAAAGTTCCAGCAAAGACAATTTAAAAGGAGCCTATATGGTGAATAATAATTCTTGCTGTACTTTATGCAAATAATCAAGCCAAGTATAATAAAACTCAAATTTATTTCACAAATAAATTGGTCCTACTATGATATAACCTTGGTAAAAATGAGAAACCAAAGAGAAAAAAAATTATATTTCAGAAGAAACTACAGTACACCTGTTTTTAGATTCTGGCCTTGTTCATTGTTTTTGGGTTTTTATTATTTGCCTATACTTTGGCATTGGTCCTTTTCTGATTTAATTCCCCTCCTCTCTGTGGGACACGATCTCCTAAGAATGAGCCTTCTTAGCGATGTGGGATTAGATGAAGCATACAACCAAAAACTCATGTTTTCTACAATGCTTTCTCTGAAAGATTTTTAAGAATAGGGGGGAAATATAAGGGAAAATAAAAATTTTAGGACCACTCCCTCAACTCCTTATGCAAAAGGGAAGGTCAAGCCTGGAGGCTGAGTCATGCAACACCCCCTTCCAAAGGAATAGCTGTTACTACTTAATAACGTTACTGACATTGTGCATCAGCCAGATGCCAGGGAAAGGTAAACCGCCTCAGGCTTCTACAAGGACTGCCCCCACAGATCATTCATGAGGACATTCTTTGCTGGCCTCCCATAAACAAGGACATACAAATTGTGACGTTAGGCCTGCAGGCTAAGTCTAGCTCCTAAAACCAAAGACTGTTTAATTCCACTCTAATAATGTTGGTTACAACTTTATCTTGCCAGGTGCAGAACAGAGATGAGACAAGATCAATCATTTTTCCACCTACCCAGGGACATCTACATAATTGATTCTTCTTAACTCCATTTTTCTCTTCAAACATTCACCTTATCTCATGTAAAATGTTGATTTCCTGGGCACTAACTAATGTCTCACAAGAATGTAACCATTTGCCTCACTGCATACCCCATTCTTCCTTTTTCTCTCTGTGTGCCCTCTCCCCTTCCATACTGAGTTTCCAACTCCCTCTCTGGAGAGTACAGGTCACAGATGCTTCAGTGCTTTGTGCTTTTCCTGGTGCATCCTCAAACTTCGGTTAATAAACCTCCATGGATTGAAATCTTTGTGTCAGTCACTTATTTTGGGTTGTTAATCTCTTTAATATGCCATGCAACGTGGGGCTTTCCTGCTAGGTCCGAGGCAAAGCCACATTCCACTCCTGCCCACACGACTGCTCGGTGGGCTCAGCACAGACCTTCCCCTCACTCCAGTCAGACCCAGGTGAGCCAGGAGGGAGCTGGAGCTCCCGGGCCTGGTTAGCAATCTCTCCCGCCAAGCCTGGTGGGGGGACTTAGCAGTTTCGGCTTCTGCCACCCTGTGGGCGATTTCACAAGTGTTAGAGGGGGACTTTCATATGATTGGCGGCTCAGGGAAGAGGGAAGAGCCCTTTCTGTGACTCTCGCAGGCAGGGTGACAACGAGGTATGGGAACGGAGCGCCTTGGCGCGAGGCAGGGCTGAGAATCCCCGTCAGCTCCGGGCCGAGTGGGCAGGTCCCGGCTGGATGTGCCCCAGGACATCAAAGCCGCGCAGACTGAAGTGGGACTTGTCCCGTCCAGGCGGCCTCTGGGCGGGTCAGCTGGCCTGGAGAAAACAACAGGGCCTCAACGTGACAGTCCCCGCATTCTGCGGACTTGAAAGGGAAATCCTTTGGATTCTGAGTGGACTCCTGGGGCTCAGCCCTGGCCGTGTCCTGAGGCTGCAAAGAGGAAGAAAAATCTGGAAAGGGCTGCGCGTTGCCGGGAGGGGTTCTTCGGGTGATCAGAGAGGGCGTCGCGCCTGCGAGGATTCAGCAGCCTGGGCTGCTCTGTGCCTCCGTGTGCCCTCATCTCTGCTGACGAACGCCGGGACCCCTCCCCACCCGCGCCCTGTCGCCCTCGCTCACCCCAGCCTGCTCTGTGGATGCCTCCTCCTTGCCGTGACCCCCGCTGCGCGCCTGTCAGCCCGCAGTCACGCAGTCACTCGGAACTCTGCCCCAGCGCCGCTGCCCCTCGGACAGACTCCGTCCCTGCGCCTGCCCTCTCCGTCGTCCTGTGCTCTTCCCTGGTGTCTTGGGCTTTATTTGCGTTTCCCTTCCCGTGTCCACAAAGGCAGGACACAGAGGAAGCCAGCAGAGGACAAAGAGCACTAGGGCTGGAGCCGGGACACGGAGCAATGTTCAGTGTGTGACTTTGGGCAAACGGTGGAGACGCTGCCTCTGGACGTCAGTGTTCACCCCTGTGGGGCTGGGTGACCCGTGCCAGCCCCAGTGGCCGGGCTGTGCCAGTGCTGGTGCCGGGGCGGGTGCAGAGAAGGGGCCTCTGCCCCGGCCCTTATGACCTGCGGAAGATCAGTGTCCTGTGTTCTCTCCGATGCTTGCACACACGTTCAGACAGCCAGATAGATAACTAGATGGATGATAGATGGATGGATAATGGGAAAGAAAACTGTTGGAATGAAAAATTAATCTTACAGACCACAGTACCCAATAAAAGTCTTACATGGACACTGAACCAGGATCACTGAACTCACTTTCATGGCTCCCGCAATCAGGTGTATTTCTCTCTGCAGTTGGGTGAAATACGGAAGTAGCCTAAGGCTGTTTTTTTTCTTTCTTTTTTTTTTTTTTTGTGCCACAAAGGTCCACATAACTGCTGGTTCCTGTTCACAGTGAAAATGATTTTAACCAGATGAATGAAGGGCAGAGGACACACAACAGAACTCAGAGAATTTTAAACCAAGCTTATTTCTAAGCGCCTGCAGCCAGCCTCCCCATCCCTTTCCGAAACTGTGGCTGATTTATCTAAGACCTAGGCTGCTTCACAGTATTTTGAAAACAAATTAGAAATCTCCTTCCAGTTTTCCAGAGGCGACTAAATCCAAGAAGCCTTAGGAATGTAAAGGACAGGACAACGTAAACAACGGTTCTGAGATGCTGTGTCTGGCAGCAGTATGGAAAGTTACTTCTTTCCCCTTTTTGTCCACCAGCAAAGGTGGAAGCTGGATTTGGTCCATTGCATAAAGTGCAGTGACCGGTGCATAAATCTGCTATTCGATCTTGGAAAACTCTAAGGATCTAGAATCAGCCGAGGGATTACGGCAAGGCTGGTGTTTCTAAGGGCCTAGAAAAGCCAAAAGTCCGGGCTGACCAGCCGCGGTGCCCTGTCTCACAGGCTGCAGGTTTGCCTCAGTTAGCACAGCAGGCTGAACTTTCCCTTGCTCAGAGTCGACATGACATGATTTGTTCCCTTTTGGCTGTGTCAGTTCTGCAAACCAGATACCAGAGTCTGCAAGCTCAGGAGAGCCTGCCTTTCTGGAACACCATTTGTTTGGACAGGACAGGCCACTAAGGCGTTTTCATCTCTTTAAAGCTCCCAGGGCAGAGAGCATATTTGAGGAATTCCTTTTTTCAAAGATTTTTTTTTTTTTTTGCCCCTTCCAACATTTTGTTTAAGAGAAAATGAGATGTCTATCTTCTGTTTCCTTATTTTTTTTCAGGAAAGCAAAGGGTTGTTGACTTCCTCCCTCTCCCCTCCCTTCCTTCCTTCTTCCCGAAGGTACTCATCTGAGAAAAAGAGAACGAAGTATTGTTCCTGTTCTCTTTCTTAAGTCATTTGAAACACTGTCCCTGCGAGTTCTTTAAGTTCCCTGTAATCTGTACACAAGAGAAAGAGGGAGAGAAAGAGGGAGAGAGACACAGAGAGCAGGGATCAGGTAAAGGATTGAGGCTGCTGCAGCCATTCAGACCTCAGGAGCTGGTAAGTTACCCATGCACTCATTTCTGCTTCCATTTCGATGTCCCTGGGATGGATATACTGCTGTGGGCATCTTCATCAGAAAATACCTTGCTGGGTGTAGTCTTAATCAAAGGGGATGATTGACTGATGGATGGCCCAGAATTTCAGCTTATACTTTTTTTTAAAAGAGAATATTGATGCTTTGCAGAGCTGAGGCTGCCAGAACTGGAAATAGAATTGCACTGGGGCTCAGGAGGACACTGTGTTAAATCTGAATTTTGGCACAGATAACGTGGCCAGGTTAGCCAGGAGCCACTGGAGTGTGTGATGTGTCCCACTGGAGAGTTCACTCTTCCTCAGCTCTGTGTCTTGGGAACCTTATCAGGGTGTCTGTTAAGAATTGTGGTTTGCTCTGGAGGTTTTGTTACATGTTGTCTGGATTGAGGTGCCCTTCTCTTGTTCTTTTTTTTCCATGTAGCATCCCCCCAAAAGAGAACTGTTACTTTGTGACTGTTATTCTGCATCACTGAAAAAAGAAAGGAATGTGACTTTGAAATAGTAGTGCTTGTGGGGGGGCTTATGTGCTCAGGTTCCACGTGTGGGTTCAGTGTGAATTTATTATTTGCTGTCAGTGGAAGATATCATCTGCCACACAAAAGAAGGCAGAGATTTGGGGGCATATAGCTTAGTTTTGGAAAACAACATGAGACTAGAATGGGAAGATTAAGATTGATCGCTTGTGTCAGTAGGAGGGAAAAAACTAAGCTGTAGATGCAACTAAAAGACATTCACCCAGTGCCTGGTTTTCCAAGCACCAAATAGAGTACTGTAAGCTAGTCAAGTTCATACACATACCTAGTTTTTAAAAGTTTAACTTGCTTCAATTAAATTTGTGAGAAAGGATAATGTTACCAAGAATTCATCATGGCAAGCCATGAAGGAGCTGAGATCATGTTGTCAAAAATAGGCCAGCAAGATCACTCCAAAAGACAGTGTGTGTTTACCAATGTGAGTAGTTTAATTTAGAGAGTCGCCGAATGGGTGAAAGGCAATGGCCAAGCATACTTTTTAAAAATATTCATTTTTATGAAATTTACTGACTGAAATGACCTGGAATATGAAGAGTATGATAAAAATATCTGGACTCTTATTTTTAAATTAATTTGGCCAATCTGTGCTTTAGCCACAATCAAGTAATTAATCTTTATTCACAACTGAGCCATCATCTTAATAAGGATGAGAAAATATGATAGCACTAGACTGTTGTGTAGGTTTTGTTCCATTAGTCAGACCTCCTTTCTCTTCTCCTTTTTACAAGAGACTTTCCTTAGGAACACCATAGAATGAACAATGTGAAAGAGACGTGATTAGCATTTGCCGGCTTGAGGGTGCAAAATTATTCTAATAACAGTGGAAAGTGGTTTCCAGCTTCCCTAGCAGCAACCCTAGCTACTCCATTTTCGCAGATCTTCAGGTCAAAAGGTAGCCGGGGCTGACCGTCTTGCGCATTATTGCATCATTTATCAGCAATTGTGACCCCAGAAGAAAACTCAGGGCTGCGATCTTGACTTACTCCTTTCAGTTTCATTTCTGTTGATAATGCATTAAATTTTGTGCACAATTAAAACAACATCATGCAACACTCTCTGGTTTTGGTTATTGAATAAAAGCATCAGATGCAATAAGAAACAATTGACAGGAGAGTCCTCGGACTAAAGGCAAGGAAGGCAAAAAGTGGGTAGGTCAATGGCCCAGAAAACAGCCTCTCTGCTAGCACACATCTTTCATTGTGGCTCGAGATTAAGGAGCTGGGGGTAAGCTATTTTCTTTAAAGGAAAAAAATATATATTCAATGTTTCCATTCAAGTTAAATCATTGCCATAAGAATATTTGTTAGGTATTGGGTAAAAAAAGATCAGCTACCTGAAGAAAAAAGCCATCGACTAGTTTAGTCTAAGTCGCTACTACTCAGTGTATCTCTACCCAACTCCAAGGAGTGAGCTGGCATTTGTGGAAACTTCCAGTGGATGATTCTTCTTTGGGGTCATCAGAGGCTGTTTTGTGATATCATTTGGGGAATTCCAGTTTGGAATGATCCAGAATTTGACACACACAAGATTTTGTTAATTTATTTCTGCTGAAATTGTACACACAACTAAACGACAAATTTAATTTTAAATCATGTTAGGTCTGTGTGCTGGGATGTGAATCAAGTTACAGTAGAGCACAGGTGGTGTCATCATACAGACTGGGTTTGAATTCCAGCTTTGTCGCTTACTGATCAGGGGCCTTAGCCCAGGTGTTTAACCTAAGTCTCAGTGTCCCCAAATGTAAAATTGCATGAATACAATAGAGTTGTTGTCAGGATTAAATAAGATTATTGATATAAAACAGTTAACACAATTCTTGGCAAGTAATAGGAGTCAATCAATGTCAGTTGTAATTTTTAAGTCATATATGAACACTTAAGAGTACTGTATTTTATTAATGTAGAGACTAGAATGAGTCTTCTATAATTCCTGTGATTATTCTTGCTTAATACTATACCAAGTATGTATCAGAACAAAAATTATTTCTCATAGCTTTAGAGTTGGGCACATATTGAGCGATGATATTATGAACCCCAAATTCTTATAAAATAAAAGAAGGTAGAGTTTAGTGTATTGATATTCATTTTGCTAATGGAAGAAATGCCAGAAATGCCAGATTTAGCTTCGTTGATTATACCAGCTGTATTCAATAGAGCTCAATGCAGGGTAAAGTTTGTCTGGGATGAAAGTTTTCTATTTAAATGAATGTGTGAACAGACCTTAACTATATTGTAGACATTTCTCCCTTTCACCTACTTCCCTAAGCTCGAGAGCTCAGTGTCATGGGCGACCTTTTCCCTGGCCATGGAAGGCTGTAGACACCTTTTTTGGAGACCATAGTGACTGTGCCATGACTCAGCCAGAGAGAAAAGGACTCGAAGTGACATACTCTCCCCCCACCCAGGGAGGAGCATACTTGGAGTTCTCTCTCCTCAAACATTCTGGCAGCGAGCCATTCACCTTCACACAGATGAACAGAACATTATATCCCCACGCCGGGTGTGTGCAGGGTCGGGGGCAGGGTACCTGATCACCCCAACTGCTATTTTTCTCTCGCTCTAAACTTTAAAATTTACATGCCCATTAGTTTATCAAGCAATAATGACAGTTTTACTTAGGTCTTAGTTAAATATCCCTCCACTTTCTGAAAGCAAAAACCAACCAAAAATCGACCACCGATAACCTTTTGTTATTGTAACCATCGAGGTCTTCTTGTTAAAATAAGAGCCTCTCATGCAACAGAGACTTGTTTGGACACTTGACCTTAGGAAAACAAATCGAAGCTGAGTTGTACCGCACTTTTGCAAAAGGTGCCTTCTCTTGTGGCTTGGTGCATGCAGTAGAAAAAAGACTAGATGGGGAGTCAGAACACTTCTGTTCTGATCCAACCTTTGCACTTCCTATATGCGTGACTTGAAAGATTTCTTTACTTGCTTGAACCTCAGTTTTCTTGTCTATGAAATGACAGGCTGGACTACATAAGTAATTTTCAAGATGGTCTCTGTGTGAGAGTGTGTATCAGAATTCACCTGGGGGGGCTCATTGACACCTTCCTCCTCCCTGCCCACTGCACTGGATGAGTGTGAGATGCTGCTGCTGGCATCCCGTGGTTCTCTAAGATGGAAGGCCAGTGTCTGCTCCGCCTTCTCTGGGATGACATTGACGTTAACTGTAAATGCATGTACGCAGAGCCATACTTTTAAACGAAATTCCTATTCAGTATCGGATGTTCTCTCTAGAACTTAGTTTTGAATATATCAATTGTTATTCTAGAAGCTATTAGTATTATGGAATAAGGAATGTCCTAGCAATCTGATGAGACTGATCAATGTTCTATAACCATATATAAATTATAAAAAGATTGATTATAGATCGATAAATATTGTAGTTCAATATAAATAGCACTTTTTGATTTACACATGTCTGTATTATTTGCATCTTACGGTGAGCATGTAGTCTTTCTTTAATAAAAATACACGGATATTAAACTTTTTCTATTCACTTTCAAAAAATATTAGTAGATTTGATCTTATAAGGTTTTTTTTTTAAACCTTTTACAATGTGTGCTATGCTGAGACTATTTTAGAAGTTAGATCCCTGTCCTTAAATTGATGGTGACATGGAAAGGCAAAAAGATTGATAAGGATGTTTAAAAAACCAGCACTCACAAATCACATTAACTCTGCTTTAATTATAAGGAAAATACGTACCTTATAGAAAAAGCTATTCTGAGGTTCCTGATTTTGTCTCTACCTAAATCACTTTTTTTTCCCTAATGTATATATATGGCTAATGAAATAGAGTGGCAACGGGCACAGGTCTCGGTCCTACAGGAACATAAAGACAACGAATATTTTGATGTATGCTCTTGGAAACAGCTAGCCTAGTAATGATCGGTCTTTTTGACTATTCAAACACCAAATACGTTTACATAAAGCCATTGATATTTAGATAAAAGAATAGGAACATGTCTTCATTAGGTGCTGTGCGTCACATGTAAGTTAAGTTCACTAGAAAGCAAGCACCACGAGGACAGCGATTTCTTTTTGTTCACTGCTGTGCACCCGGAGACTACAGGAAATAGCACATAGCATGTAATAGATGCATAAGAAGTATTTTTTGAATAGATGAGTTACTGAATGAGTGGGCTGTAGAGTGAAAGATTCTATCTTTATATAACACCAAATGAAGCAGTTAATGAAAAAAAAAGGTAGTCAAACTTTTCTGGAGTGTAGACAATGCCAAACTTCCAGCTTGACAGATTTATCCCTCACCTGAATTGACTGGAATGGGGTTGTTTTGCTGTTGTGTGCATGGGGCTGGTACCTGTATATTAAACTGTCATCTTGGCAAGTCCCCCACCCACTTGTTCATGGGAGATTAGCATTTATAAGATAGATACACAGAAAAGACTGTTGGTTGCATTATATT